TTGCCTCTCCCAGTTTCTTGTGGCTGCTGGCATTCCTTGGCTTATGGCTGCAACACTCCAATCTCTGCTCCCTGGTAACATTGCCTTCTCCTGTCTGTAATCTCTCTGCTTCTCTTACTGGACACGTGTGATTTAGAACCCACCTGGATAATCCAAGAAAATCTCCCCATCTCAAGATTCTTAACTTAATCACACTTACAGGGTTCAGAGATTAGGACCTGATGTTTTGGGGGGCCATTACCCAGCCTACTACAACATTTATCTGTATATGTATGTAAACATAAATACATATACATACACATACATACATATATTTATACTTTGTGGCAGGATGGGTTCTAGTAATTTAAATGTGTTAATTTATACTCACAACAGTCTATGAGACAGGTGCTATTATTATTTCCATTTTTCAGATGGCAAAGCCGAGGCAGAGAAAGGTTACAATTTGCCCAAGCTATATCATACATGTTCTTTGACTACAATGCAAGTAGTTAGAACCAATAACAAAAGATATTTTTTAACTTTGTATTTTGAAATAATTTCAGATTTACAGCAAATGTGCAAAACAGTACAGAGAATTCACATATACCTTCACCTAGATTCTCCAGATGTTAACATTTTATCACAAATATTCTACCATTTCCTCTCTATACAATTTTTTCCTGAATCTTTTGAGATTCAGTTGTTGCTATAGTTTGGATGTTGGTCCCCCAAGCCTCATGCTGAAATTTGGTCCCCAAAGTTTGAGGTGGGGCCTAATGGCCTAAGGTGGAGGAGTTTGGTTATGGGGCGGATTTCTTGTGAATAGCGTGGTGCCCTCCTCGAGGTTATGTGTTAGTTCTTGCTCTATTAGTTCCTGCAAGAGCTGGTTAAAAAGAGCTTGGCAACAACCCCCACCCCACCCCCCGCGTCTTGCTTCCTCTTCCACCAGGTGATCTCTACACATGCTGGCTCTTCTTTGCCTTCTGCCATCAGTGGAATCAGCCTGAGGACTTCACCAAAAGCCGAGAAGACGCTGGCACCATGCTTCTTGTACAGCCTACAGAACTGTGGATCAAATGAACCTTTTTTCTTTATAAACTGCCCTGCCTCAAGTATTCCACTGTAGCAACACAAATGGACTAAGACATTTGCATATACAATGCTCCTTTATCCCTAAATACTCCAGCATGTATTTCCTAAAAAACAAGGACTTTTTCTTAAATAATCATGATACAATTATCAAAATCAGGAAGTCACATTGATACAATGCTCATTAATTTACGGACTTTACACAGATTTTACCAATTGTCTCAAAAATGTCCTACAAAGCAAAAGTTAAAAAAAAAACATATTTTCTTGGCTGGTGCAGTGGTTCATGCCTGTAATCTCAGCACTTTGGGAGGCTGAAGTGGGAGCACTGCTTGAGGTCAGGAGTTTGAGACCAGCCTGAATAACACAGTAAAATGCCATCTATACAAAAAACAGGCAAATTAGCTGGCAAGGTGGTGTGTGCCTGTAGTCCCAGCTACTCAGGAGGCTAAGGCAGGAGGATCACTTGAGCCCAAGAGCTCAGGGCTGCAGTGAGCTTTGATTATATCACTGCACTCCAGCCTGGTTGACAGAATGAGACCCTGTCACCCTCTCCCCTGCCACCCCTCCCAAAAGTTTTCTTGACCAGGATCCAATCCAGAATCATGTATTTCATTTAGTTGTCACATCTCTTTAGTCTCCTTTAATTTGAACCTTGTGACTGGCTGGTAATTTTGTACAATACTCTGGAATTTAGGCTTTTCTGATATTTCTTCTTAACTATGTTCAGGTTATGAATTTTTGGCAGAAATATCAGTGATGCTGGGTCTTCAGTGCGTATCAGAGTACATAAAATATAAAATTGTTTTTTTTTTTTTCTTTTTTTTTTTTTTTAAGACAGAGACTTGCTCTGTTGCCTGGGCTAGAGTGCAGTGGAGTCAACATAGCTCACTGCAACCTCAAACTCCTGGTTTCAAGTGATCCTCCTGCCTCAGCCTCCTAAGTAGCTGGGACTACAGGCACACACCAGTACACCTGGCTAATTTTTTCTACTTTTTGTAGAGATGGGGTCCCACTCTTGCTCAGGATGGTCTCAAACTCCTGGCCTCAAGCGATTCTCCTGCCTCTGCCTTCCAGAGTGCTAGGATTACAGGAGTTAACCACTGCACCCAGTCAAAATTTTTAAAATCTAACGTTTGTGTTCATGCTAGATACACTGTTATACTTCTAGATGTCTCCAAATACATCTCAATACAAAGAAGAATTACATTTCCACAAGGGAATTTAAATTGTCCATATTTCTGTTTTGTGTCATGACACAAGTGGTATAAATATGTTGATCTAAAAATAATAGAATATCACAAAGTAAAAAATTATAAACTAAATTAATTTCCAACATATGTAAAAAAAGAAAGCTTTGATCATTTGTTTTGACAGTGGCAAACTACAGAGGAAAGCACGACCAACCACCGAAATCTCGGATAATTTTTTGGTATCAATAAGCTAAGAAATTATAGCCCAACTTAAGCTCATTTCATTCCCATAAGGTACTGTCACAATAAATCTCTTCCACACTGAATCAGCACCACTGATATTGGCATTGGCATTAATGTTCGTTCTATATAAAGTTCAGTTCTAGGGTATTGTGATACAATTAGCATCACATGAGAACTCAGAGTTCCTCTCTTTAGGGCAGGACCAGTTGGGGAAAGGGATACCATCATCTCTTTAGCAGTTATTTATTTATTTCAAGTACATGTGGTACTGGCACAAGGGCAAATCAGAATGCTACAAATCATTATGTGTGCAGGACAATTCCTCTAATGTTCCCCCGTGCTATTTCACCAAAAGGACAATGAAAGAATAAATTAAAATACAGCTTTCTATGCTGCGAGGTCAGC